GCCTGCTTGTGATTCTCTCTCTTCCTCTCTCTCTCTGCCCCTCCCCTCTCTATTTCAAAAATAAATAAATAAAATTTAAAAAATACTGAAACATAATGAAATGTGGGAGGTGCAGGAGACAGGAACTAATGGGCTCCCTGCCCAGTGATGGCTCCTTGACTTGCTCTCTGGAGGCTGGTTTGCTCTGTGGCTTCTGGTCACTTCCTCATCGTGGGTCTGTGAATGGTGACAAGGCGCAGGCTGTTGTCTACACATGGCTGTCTTTCTCTAGCACCATTTAATGGATCCCATTAAACATTCCTCTCCCAAATGACCTCGTGCCCTTCAGAAAGGCGCTATTTATGTGCTACCAGGATCCTTTAACTTAGCAAGCTTATTCAAGACATTGCATCTAGCCCCAATGCCATGAAACATTTGTGTCTCGGGCAATCCATACCATGCCTCCATATCCCTCACCCGAAGTTACTAGGCTCATCTGGTTTAAGGCATGCGAGCAAACTCAAGAATCTGTGCTAAGTGGAGATAAAAAGAACTTAATTTCACCCATGCACTCCCCCTCGCTCCCTATTTAGTTTCTAAAGTAATTCTCACCCAACTTGTCTAGAGTTTTTGCAAGGAAGTTTCAGGTTTGCAAAAGGCATTAGGATAATTATTGGTGGGTTTTAAATGAAATATAAAATAACAAAAATTGAGGCGTTTGAAAAGCATCTGTAGCTGTGTGAAACAAGAGAAGTCTGAGGCATTTCTGGTTTGTGGGTGACTGAGCCCCCTGTGGCTTCTGTGGGGGTGCAGATATGGGGGGAACTGGGGGGGAGCGCAGCTGGACCTGGGGAATCAGCCTGGTGCCAGAGGGACCTTCACTGAAACCCAGCCCTGATCTCGCATAGTACCTCTGAACTGTGTCACTGCATGCCTGCCTTAGAAGGGCCTGAAATCAATAAAAAGAAGAAGTTCAAAAACCACTCCATAAGCAGCAGAAAATCTGCCCTTCACTTTTCTTTCCCTGTACCCGGAGGAGTTCTAAATCTTCCTTCATTCCTACATCAAGCCTGAGACACCAGGCTCCCTAGAACTTTCTTTTATTCTGCATTATTTCTGTAGCGTTCTGCAAAGCATCTGCAGGTCTTTAAAGGAAATGTGAAAAGGTAGCAAAGATACATCTGTACAGCAAAGACATGTGGCGCAGAGAAGGAGCACATAAATCAAAGCCAGAGTTCTCTCTGCTAGCAACCTGGAAATCAAATTGTGTCAGGGAGAAGGCCCGTGTGGAAAATAGATTAGAAGGGTGCCGAACAAGAGAGAAGAAAGACAAGCAGTCCCTACCAAAATTAATGAAAGGCAGAGGAGGCCTGGAGAAACAGCCTGAGTGAAAAGATGCTCGTGCTGCTTAAGGATGGATGAGCGGTTCAGCAACCATTTGAGGCCCGCTTGGATAACTCGATGGCCACCCATCCCCCCTTCCCTGGTCCGCCACTCCCAACCCAGGGCTGTGGAGCTCTGCAGGAAATGAGGGGAGGAAGGAGACGTGGAAGGGACAGGAGACCCGGCATAGGAATTTAGATGAGCAGCACCATCCTTCAGGTGACCTCCAGCGTCCAGCCCCAACTTTGTAACTACAGTGCTGAGTGCTGAGTGCTGCCTGCGAAACCCCTCTGACCTGGGGTTGTGATACCTGCCCTCACAATGAGATGCTAGAAGTAGAGCAACAAGGGCAGACACAGGCACCAAGTGGGGGGCTTCTCAAAGAGCCACTATTATTATTATGAACTAAAATTTAGAAGTGGATGCTGGCTCTGGAACCTTCCATTTGCAGCTGTGACTTGCAGGCTCTGAGTGCCTCCCCAGTTCCTTCTTTTTCTCAAAACCCTGAACTCCAGATCACTTCCTCTGTTCCAGCTCCTGGGTCAGGATACAGCCGTCTCCTCTCCTCCCAACCAACTCTCCCGACCTGCCAGCAAAACCAACCTCAGGAAGAAGGTGAGAAATGTCCTCCGGGCATGGACTAATGGCTTGTGGTGGTGACCATTCTGATCTGGCTTTTGGATCTTGCATGACCCGCAGTCTCAGACAGGATTGCTCTGCTTTTTCTCCAGGACTTGGCATGACTAAGGGGATAGATACAAACCCCAGGGCACAAACTCACTGTTCTAGAAATTTAACTTCATTTTATATCTGAGCTTAATTTCTATTTCAAATCTCCGTTCTGCCTTGAGGGCGGAAACCTAATCTAAGCCAATTTGAAATTCTATCACCAATCCCTGAAATAATAAGCATAAGTTAGTTTTTTTTTTTTAATGTTTATTCATTTTTGAGAGAGACAGAATGCACATGGGGGAGGGGCAGAGAGGGGGAAGACACAGAATCTGAAGCAGGCTCCAGGCTATTAGCACAGAGCCCTATACAGGGTTTGAACCAATGAACCGCGAGATCATGACTTGAGCCGAAGTCACTTAACCAACTGAGCCACCCAGATAGGTGCCCAGTGCCTAAGTTAGTTTATAACACCAAGGCTCTCTGCTTGGGTGGTCATGGTAGTCATTAAGTGGTCAGTGCTGGAGAAAATTCCAGCTCCTTTCTTCTAAACCCCTCGGCGGATGTACTTCCCCTTAAGTTAAGTGTGGCCATGTGACTTGCTTTGGCAAATGAAACAAGAGCAAGTGTCATTTCCAGAAGGAAGTCTTAAGTGCCAGTTCATGTTTCTATTCTTCCCCCCCACCCCCACCCGCCATAGAAACTGGCAACTTTCCTGATAAAGGCTGCTCCAGCAGGTCCTGGGGTGAGGACAGTGCTGACCCAGCACAGAGCTTTCCCCTGATCTTCCATAGTCCTGTAGTGTGAGTGAGAGATGATTCTTTGTGGTTTGACCCACTCAGACTCGTTTTTGTTGTTGCTGTTTCTACTAACCTGAGCATGCTCTAGCCTCCCTGAAGGTACAGGGGGTGGCATCCATCTGAGATGTCCTCATTCCCACCTTGTCTTCAACTTGGCAATACATGCTTCCTGACCATCCCCCACCCCCCACGCCCCCAACTCAGGGCCTCCTGGGCTCCAGACCTCTGTCAGCTGTTTCTGAGCCTTTCTCTGAGGGCAGGGACCCATCTGTTGTCACGGCATCAAACTGGACCATGGAAAATTCTGTGAGGAGTTCAGGCCCATCTGTCCAGACATTCAGTGCCACCGGGATTCTCAGAACTCCCCTGGGGTTCTACCAGGGAAACAGAGCAAGCCTACCTCTGCCCTCACTGGAGCTTCCCGCCATTCCCACTTCTTCTCCAGGAGGCTTCGGCCCCACCCTTTCCCCATATTCCACGACAGTTGCCTCTTCTGGCTTTTCCCACAAGTCCTATGATCTAAATCCGGCCTCAGGCTGGAGGCCTTATTTTACTCACCAGCACCACCCTCCCAAATCTATTACATCTGGTTTGGTGTTCTTTCCATGCCCCAAGTGCTGGCCTTTTATAACTCCAGAGCCAAAAATTGCCCATTGTTTGTCTCTGAGTTATGCCAAGACCCCTCTTCCTGTGAGACAATGAACGAGGAATACCCCAGCTGCCTCAACGGGTCAAGGACCGAGAAAATGGGGTGGTGGTACTGGAAATCTCAACTGATAGTTCAGAATATTGTTCTGCACATAAGTGTTCAGCGCCATTATGAGGCTGAGAAGTAAGACCAGTGTGTGACTAGTTGAAGCCACTGTACAACCTCATGGCCACATTTAAACATGCCTTCGTAGAATTGTCATCCTTGTGAAACTTCTCAGAGCAAAGGGTTGGATGGACCTGAGCATGGAGTCTCCCCTAGAGACTGTAAGATCCTTGAGGCTGAGACCATTTCTCTCATGTGTCCTGCAAATCTCCAGACTGGGATCTATTGTGTGCCTGAAGCACAACGGACTGAAAGAACAGGGGTCCAATGTTGCAGCAGGATGCAGGGAAGTGTCATCATCAGGCATTTTTTGAAAAGATGATTTGATTGACTAAAATACTTGGAACTGAAGAATAATGGAAGACAGAGGTTAAGTCCTGAGACCAGAGCAATTCCTACAGAGGATACCTATTTCTGAAAATGAGCATGTAGGCAATGAAGTGTGTAAGAACATTTTTTAAAACCTCCAGACTTTGAGGGGCACCTGGGTGGCTCAGTCAGTTAAGTGGTTGACTCTTGATTTCAGCTCAGGTCATGATCTCACAGTTGGTGGGTTCCAGCCCAGAATCGCAGAGCCTCCTTGATATTCTCTCTCTCCTCCCCTCCCCTGCTCTTGTGTGCGTGCTCTCTTTCTCTCTCAACAATATACTTTAAAAAATTAAAAAAGAAAACCCTCCAGACTTTGAGAACTTAACTAACAAATGACAATGAGGATATTCTCATCATACTAAAGGTTTCAGCCACAGGATATGCTGTCTCCTCGAGGGCCAGTCGTTTAGATCTCCCTTTCCCTCCTGGGTGCATTTGAAGATCCCAAGAGCTAAATGTAAGGCTTTCAAGGAGAGGACACAAAGTCCTTCAAAAGTCAAGCCTGTGTGGAATACGCCTCATGTTGTGGCCTGAGCGGCTTTGCAGTGGGTGGGGTGAAGTAACAAAGTGGTGTCCGAAGCTCATACCACTCACCACCTGTTGACACTCATTTTTCTAATCTAGGCAAACCAACACATGGGTGTTGGTGCAGAGAGGAACAAGCCAACCCTTTCCTTGCTTGCTCTGAACCCCTTATCTGGCCTTGGGAAAACAAACAATACGAGGAGCCCGGCTGCAAGGTTAGGGCACTACAAGTCTGACTCCATCGCTTAGTCCCTTGGGGGCGGGGCGGGGCGGCGGCGGAGGGGCGGGGCGGCGGCGGAGGGGCGGGGCGGCGGCGGAGGGGCGGGGCGGCGGCGGAGGGGCGGGGCGGCGGCGGAGGGGCGGGGCGGCGGCGGAGGGGCGGGGCGGCGGCGGAGGGGCGGGGCGGCGGCGGAGGGGCGGGGCGGCGGCGGAGGGGCGGGGCGGCGGCGGAGGGTGTGGCCTGCAAGAGGAGACAGATCTAGGCCCAGGCCTGGGAGTTCCGGTCCGGTTCTGCCCGCGGCCCGGGGCGTTCGGGGCGGTCGAGGCGTAGCGCTCCGGTGGCTCACACAGCGGCCCTCGGCTCGTCCGGCCCTCTAGAGCGTATCTCTGGCTGCCATGGCCACCGCTGGCTTGCGGGCCTTCGGGACAAAGGGGCTCGGGTGGCTCCGGCTCAACCCGTGGGCCCCGCTCTCCGCCGGCTTCTGCAGCAGGGGGGCCGGGCCGCGACCCACCAGCGCGCGGCAGCGGGACGGCATCAGGTCAGCGGCGGGGTCGCCGGGCGCCCAAGCCCTCCCGGATCGGCCCCCAGGTGGGGGTGGGCGGCAGGGACCGGGGCGGAGAGATGGGCAGTCACTCCACGCGGAGGCCAACGAGGGCTCGGCCTGGGGTCAGCTCCGCCCGCTAGGGTCCCCAGTTTCTCCGTCACGGCCAAGTCTGGCTGACGACGGCCCCGAGGGAACCCGCGGACGCGATGTTTCCTGAAGCCCCTTGCCTGGGCACGGTAGCATTTGGGACCCTTCAGGACACACTGTAGAATTTCAAGTGCGACAGCCTCCGGAGGTCCCAGCGCTCAAACTCCCTAAACCGCCAGGGCAACGGAGCCCAGTCTTCCATGGACGTTAGGCGCTGCGTGGGCAGCTCGGCAGGCGGCCTTTGAGAAAGAGAGTTTTGTGCTTCTCACAAACTTGACCTGGTTCCAAGGCCACGTTAGGCTTAGCTGAGCTGCTCCTTGGCCCTCCCCCAGAAGTGCCCGCGGCCGGGCAGGTCAGTATGTAGGGTGAAGGACACACTGCACTGAGCTCTGCCATTTGGCTCAACAAACCTAAAACCGGAACACCGGTGCACAAACTGGAACTGGACGAAGCAGAAGTAGTAGAAGGTGAAGGACCCCTAGCCCCATCCAGCCTCTCCCTGATGTTTGCCTGGCCAGGGCCAGGGTGAAAAGACAGGCCTACCCAGCATGCCAAGTAGTTAGAAGTCACAAGTCAAACAGCTAAGTATGTTTTCTTCCTACCCTGACAAGCGTATCTTCATAAGACCTAGAAGACCGTGTTTGAATTGGTAAGCCTCAGGCTCCTAGGAGTTCCCCCAAAGCCATTAAGAGCCAGCTGCTGCCCTGCAGCTTTTTCTTTTCTTCCCACCCCTTGCTCACTCCCTCTCATCGCTGGGAGCTTGGTGCACAAGCCTGTAGACACCCCATACAGCATGCCTGTACTATCTCTATCCCCTCACCCCCTGTAATAATTGCTCTCGGCCACTCGACGGGCTTAAGGGTGCCCATGCAAAGCTGGAGAATTTCAGAGTCTCAGGTAACTGCAGCAAGGTTTGGAAGGGGGTGGTGATTTCCAAGCAGGCACACCTGGCGGGCCACAGCTGGAAGAGGGCCAGAACAGGGTGCTCTAGAGTGCACTGCCCAGGCAGGAGTCCTTCCTGCCCGTTTTCTTTCTTTTTCTTTCTTTCTTTCTTTCTTTTTCTTTCTTTCTTTTTCTTTCTTTCTTTCTTTCTTTCTTTCTTTCTTTCTTTCTTTCTCTTTCTTTCTTTCTTTCTCTTTCTTTCTTTCTTTTTCTTCCTTTCTTTCTTTCTTCCTTTCTTCCTTTCTTCCTTTCTTTCTATGTTTTATTTATTTCTAGGAGAGAGAGAGAGACAGCATGAGCAGGGGAGGGTCAGAGAGAGAGGGAGTCACAGACCGAAACAGGCTCCAGGCTCTGAGCTGGCAGTCAGCACGGAGCCGGACGCAGGGCTCGAACCCACAAACCGCGAGATCATGACCTAAGTGAAAGTCGGACGCTTAACCAACTAAGCCACCCAGGCGCCCCCCTTCCTGCCCATTTTCAAGGGTGGTTCTGCTTCTGCAAATCTGGTTCCACCTGGTCGGAAGCCTGACTTCTGGCATGGCAGCCAGTTGACCAAAGAAGGTCTGTCTGGTTGAGTTCGCGGGAGCTAAACATGAATCAGAAAGGGAGATGATGGGAAGAACCAATCTATCATAAATGCCCAGAAGCGCTTGGTAAGTAGGAACTCCAGATCCAGCACTAAAGCAGTAGTATGTTAAGCACTAAGTAGGTGAGCTTGAACAACTCAAGTCACACTAAGCATCCCTTTTCAAAGCTGTTCCCCTCAGCAGTAGTACTGTCATGTAGTAAAAACCAGCCAGGAATTGGGTACCGTGCTAGGTACTGTATGATCATCCCCCATAATCCTTATAAGAGCCTATGAGGCAGATTACGTGATCCCCACCCTACAGTGAGGAAACAAGTTCAGAGAGGTGGCAGCCTGTTCAAGGCCACACAGCCAGTAGGAAAGAAAGCTGGGAGGCAGGAAAAGGTCCCTGTACCTCCAGAGTTATTTCTACTCTCTTGTGTAGCCCAGTATACTCTTCACTGAAGTTTAAAAGAGGTGACAAGGAGCACCTTGGTGGCTTAGTTGGTTAAGTGTCTGATTCTTGAATTCGGCGCAGGTCATGATCCCTGGATTGTGGGATTGAGCCCTGTGTTGAGCCCCACATAAGGCTCCAGGCTGAGCATGGAGCCTGCTTAAGAGTCTCTCTCTGTCTTTAAAAAAAAAAAAAAAAAAAAAAAAGGTAGCAAAACACTAGGTGAAGTGAAAGTTTACAGGAATTTGGTGGAATTGGCTATGAGAAATCGAAGTGCTACTTAGGGTCATTAATTCAGTCAGCAGGCATCTGTTGAGTGTCTCCTCTGTGCACAAACATGACCGTGCCTCATCTCATGGACCTTCTCTTGGTTTACAATGATGTGATGGTCTCTGGACAGTTCATCGGGGCATCTGCAGGGCCCATTGCTTGCCTTGCAATCACAAATATTACTTTTTATCACATGCTCTGGCAGTGACCTCACTCTTAGTGATTCCCTCTTTCGAGGGGTGGTATTGGTGCAGCCGTAGGTGCAAGGCATCACGTGTTTGGACTCAATAGAGCCATTGGGAGAATTCAGACTGGTAAGATTTTTAGGAGGGATTACCAACCAGATTTGATGACCAGCTGAATAGGGAAGAAACAGCATGGCTTTCAGTTTCTTCCTTGAGCAAGTGAGTGGTAGCCCTGAGATAAGGAAAAGAGGAAGATGCCCAAGGATACATCAGTCCAGGAGATGCCGGAATGGACATGTAGACCTGGAGCCCAGGGGAGAGGTTTGAATAAGAGCAAAGATCGGGAGTCAGCAGCATAGAGGGACCAGTAGAAGCCACGGCCATGGTGGGCTGGACTCAGAAGAGCCTGGAACAAGTAGGGAGCAGTGGAGGGAGCTCCGAGGATCAGTCAGGGGGTAGCAGAAGGCTAGGCACGCCTTGAAGAAGTGGAGGATGGGCTAGAGAAGCACCAAAGAACAGAAGTGGATGTGCTTCCAGAAGGACAGCATGATCCAAATGGCCACTGGGTTCAGTTCTGGCAAGCGGGAGATTCTCGGTGAGGACGGTTTTCATGGAGCAGCAAGAATAGAGGCCTGGTTCCCCTGGGTTGAAAAGCGAACTCAGCCGCTCAGAGCACCCTGCCAGGGTGTGGAATGCGCCAGCCAGAGGACTGATGGACCACATAAACACTGATGCTGCCATGAAGAAGGGCATTCAGGGGCTGCATCTCTGTACACAATTGTGCCGGAGGCGTTAGAATTTAATTTAGGGCATATGTCACTGAGGGAATGGCAGCGTTTGGGGTTGCTACAGAAAGCACACTCATTATCTTACTGGAAGGTTCGTCAGCACTTCTGTTACCACATCCCAAAATGTGGGTTTCACAATCTATCGGCATTATCGGCTGCAAGTCACTTTGCTCCTTAGGAGGAAACGTGTTTGTGAGAAACAAAATGGATGAATGTCCCAAGCGCCTGCAGAGAACAGCAAAGCTGGCGTGGTGTTCCAAAGAAACGGGCTCTTCTTGTTGCCCTGAAATAAAGGCAGTCACCAGAGTGCTTTTCCAGAAAACACTAGCAACAGAAGTCTATTAAAGGAGGATCCAGGCTGACGCATGGCAGTAGGAATACCAGATTCCAAAAAAGAACGAGAAAGGCAGAAAACATGTAGGTGGGGCCCAATGGGAAACACATCTAACATATAGAACAAATAGTCTGGTGCTTGGCTCCCTGCCCGTTCCTTACAACGGCCAAAGTGAGACATTTTCTGTGTACAGGCAGCCAGACAACAATACTGCTCATTTTAATTAGCATGTGGGATACCTTAAAATAACGAGAAGACTCTTTGTCAGAGGACATGTCCAGAAGAGCCTTCTTGCTGTATGCACCTGGTCCTTTTCTTCTTCACATATTGCCCGTTCTCAGCATATTTTGCAGAATTACAGGATGCCACTATAAAAAAAAAAAAAACACAGAAAATGCTGTCCTATATGCATATCAGCAGCTGTAACAGCACTGCCTCCTCTGTGGAGTGGACGGGAGGAGACTTGGGGCCAAATTTTCCTTCTGGGCTCCCTCCCCAGCCTCATTGTTTTGAAGAAATCAGTTGAAGGTCACCACGGTGTGGCAGTGTCCCCTTGTGCCCACCCCTGTCTTCTCACAAACCTCACCGCCTCTCAGTATGGGCAGCGGTGGTTTGCGGACTGTCGAACCCACCCTTTCTGTGGCGGTGACAGTCGTGGATCTGATGGCAAACACAGAGAAAAAGAGAAACAAATCAAGGGAAGAAGGGAGAAAACCCAGCCCACGTTTCAGGTGGTCTCCTTGTTTTGACTTAGTGGTAACTCCAGAGAGCAGAGCCTCTCAATTGCCTGGTTCTTTTTCCTGGCGTTTTAAAAATATCTCCCAGGTTAGAAAGGGATCGTGGGGGTCCTCACTTGTTTTGATTCCTGCACGACCCAATAATTATACAACGTTCTTCCCAGGACCATTGTCTTAAGTGATCCAAAGAAGAGGAACGCGCTGTCGTTAGCAATGCTGAAGTCTCTCCAAACGGACATTCTTCATGAAGCAGAGAGCAAAGACCTCAAAGTCATTATCATCTCAGGTATTTATGTCATATCCAACCTCAGTGCTCTGTAGTACCCAGAAGAGTTTTCTCAAAATTCTTCAGTTATCTGGGGCATTCCCTCACTTAACGGGGTGATTGTTTTTGAAGCTTCTTTCAGGAACACTGATTATGGAAAACTCTCGTGTAGTGGGGGCCTTGATCCCCACACTGCCAACTGTGGGAATTATAGCAAAGATTACCGTGCAGCGAGAATATGTGCCTTTTCCTTTTTGTCAGATACGAAGCACCGCTGCTGCCATCCTTGGCCGTGCTGGTCTGTCCATCAGAATCACAGAACTGATTTCTTCATGGACCTGACGCAATGGGTTTAGTCACTGATCCTTCTGGTAGACTCCCTGGTAGGCTAGGACAGGCTGCTTGGGGCACTTGATGGGTTTGTCTTTTGTGTTCTTAACTAAGCTTTCAACCAAGATCTGTGGTCTTCAATGGCTCCAGAAAGCATGCTATATTTTGCTCATTTCTTTCCTTGCTCTTTTCCCAGGGAGACTTTCTGCCAGGTCATCTGGTGAGGATGACAGTGGTATAAATAACAGCAAGGCCAGCATTTTAAAGCAACCACAGAAAAACAAAACACCTGATGCCCTATGAGGCACTACTTTATTAAAAATTAAGATTCAGTGTTTCTGGAGGCAGATACTCAGAATGGTACCTTCCTGTCTGTGGTTGAATATAAATTTTCAAATTTTTATATGGTGAAGGGAAAAGAAATAGAACAAATATTGTCTAGCAGCCATGGGGTGGGGGTGGGGGGCTGTGGTAATCTGGATGCAGCAAGGCAGCAAACTCTGAACCACGCAATTTTTTCACTTGTTTAAAGGGAATAATGTCTGTCCCAGCAGCCACAGCAAAAGGAAAATATGAGAAAGTGTCATCAGCTAATCAGTGGAATTACATTTCACCATTGTTGTTAATGACAACAGTACCACTAAAACCACATCCTCAGATCCCTCGTAAAAATAAGGGGGTTCTCTTCACATCCTGCGCTTCCAACCTGTGTTGGGTAGCTGTTGTCTGTAGACCAAAGGACGGGGACACCATGGGAGGCACGGTGGATTTGATGGGCCTATATGAGTCTATACACTCAGGCCACACCACATCCCGCAACAAAAGTGTGAAGCCAGAGGGATAAGTCTGGAAAGAGTACGTACACTCGCCTTGGTTACTGAGCCTTCTTGCTGGAATTACATGTTTTCGCTGATTCCACCACAGACCTTTAAAAACAGGTGCCTCACCTCACTCGGTTACTTTTCAAGCTGCATAGAATTATTCTTATCAAAATTGAGCCGTTAACCTTCTCTGAGTGTCCACAGCATCAATACAATTGCCAGTTACCCGGCAGACAAGTGAACGCCCCAGCTCTGGCCGTTTACGTCTCTTTCTTTTTCTTTTCTCAACTGGAAATGTACAGCGGAGGGGCCTGTATTTTCTTCTGGGCATGACTTAAGGGAGCTGACGGATCAGCAAAGCACAGATTATCACACTGAAGTATTTCAGACCTGTTCTGAGGTAAGCCGGGATGACGACTGCTCGACATCGCAAACCCAGAAATGTTAATTACATGAACTACTGAATTAGGCTTCCAAGTTACAGATGAGGTTTCATCTGTGAGACCTAATCACTGCAGGCTGGTCACTGGTGAATCCTTCACCCAAACCACTCTTTGGTGTCGATTTTTAAGAAGGGACCATGGTTTGCGATTGATCTTATTACATGCCAAAGAAAGTAAAAGCTATGCTGGCCCTGGTGGTTTCCACCTCTGGATTCTGGGGTGTTTTTTTTTTTATATTTAATGTTTATTTATTCTTGAGAGAGAGACACACACACAGAGTGTGAGTGGGGGAGGGTCAGAGAGAGGGGGAGACACAGAATCCGAAGCAGGCTCCAGGCTCTGAGCTGTCAGCACAGAGCCTGACACAGGGCTTAAACTCATAAAGGATGAGATCAGACCTGAGCCAAAGTCAGATAACTGACTGAGCCACCCAGGCACCCCATGGGGGTTATCTTGGCATATATGTCATATGGAAGAGGTAAGAAGGTAGGAATGTACATCTTTAGAAGGGCAGAACCTAAAAGTAGTATCAGTTTTAAAAATTTTAAACTAAAACAACCCTGTTAATGGGAAAGAGAGAATATATGGATATGGAATCAAAAAATGCTTTTAAAGATATTTTCAAACCCTTCTTACAACTAGCCTTTGTAATCAGCATCTCCAAATGGGAAAATTAGCCTCTTCATGCTTACTTCTTACTGTCTCTTTAACCATATGAAGGAGAATACTTGCGAACAGAGAGGAGGAAGAGGAACAGAAAGTTTGGGATGGTTTTATAAATATATTAAGTCAGCCCCTGGATAATAACAAATTGAATATAAAATCCAACATTAAGTAATACATTGTTTACTTTATGACTATTTATTAAGCACTACTGTATGCATAATACTCGCAAGGCACTGAGGGAAATAGAAGGAAAAACAAGTTTTCTGCCAAGCTGAAACTGGAAATGTAGGTGAGAAACAAGACATAAAACAGTTCCATAACCCGATCCTAAGATTACTGAACCTAATTTTTCATGCATTCATTGACTTGTTCATTTATTTGATCATTAATGATTCAATAAATATTTAATGATACCTTCTACGTAGACAAGACAGAGGTGAGCAACAGGGAGGCTGACAGAAGGTGATTAAGATACCTTCTCGACCACCATTTGTTTTCCTTGCCCTTCCAGAATGCCATAAGGAAATCCAATTATAGTTTTCTCATTTCAAGGAGGGACAAGCCAGAAAAGCAACTGATTTGAGGCTTCGTGGAGAGGCAGAAGGGAGCCAGAGCTAAGGCTCAGGTCTTTTGTTTCACATTAACGATGTTTATGTAACATTCGAGCCCTTGGGTTTGCCCAGGATTGGTGCTTTAGAAGTTGTCTTCCGACTAATATCCAGGATGTTTGGCTAAAACAGAAAATCATCAGAGAGAACCGCTAGACCCCTTCTTTCCTCCCTAAAGGGCCTGCTTTCATCACTCTGCTGTGGTGTCTTCATGAACTAAGATCTAAACAGCTTAGCAAAAGGGCCATGGGGAATCCAGGGCTCCTTCAGAGGATACAGCCCTGATTTTGTGGAAGCTTGCAACCCACGGAAGCCTCAGGCCCACCTTTCAAAACACAGCACATAGACAGGACCTCATCCTAACACAGGGAGATACAAGTGGAAGTGCACTGATTTCCTTAACACTTCCTCTAAGAAAATCACATTGTCCTGGGTAAATATGAGCATTGTGAACTTGTGCAAGGTTTCAATTTCCAAATGTAATCAACAGACAGATCGGGACCGAATGAGCCAGGTATTTCACTGTTTGGCTCACACATGCGAAGATGAGTTTGTAGAGAGGAAGGCAGAGTGTCCTGAATCGGTTCAGCATCTAAACTATAGCAGGTTCATTACAGAGCACAAGTACCACCTGACAGTTATTTCCAAATCAGAAAGAGGGTAAACTGAGAACGAGAAGGAGCACTCAGCTCTGAGCGAGCGGAAGTAACCCTCTATGGGGCTGCCTGGCAGATCTCACCAGAGACCTCTCCCTGAGTCTTTCCTGTCGAAATTTGAAGGTGGAAACCCTAGTCCAGGAAGAGATTCTTCTCTCTCTCCTCACATCCTCCCACTGAAATGGCAACGGAACATGGTCTCTCGCTTTGGGGGAGTAACACAGAGCCCCGAGCAGTGCTGTCGAGTGAGGCTAAGGTAGTGATTGTCGAGCGCTGAGTGAGGCTACATTTATGTCCCATGTGGGAGCACTCGGTCCAGGAAGGTAAACTAGGAGGAATAACAAGGCTTGTCTCCCAAGGCATTGATTACCCCAGTTTCTGTATTATCTAGCTTGTCTTTGTCTTTCCTGAATTGCTCTCTAACTTTACGTAAAATATGTTTTAATTATAAAAATATTAAATGCTTATTATGGAAAATTTTGAAAATCTAGGAAAATGAAAGGAAGGAAAACAAATGACTGATACTAGACCATGATCATACCACCCAGAGTGAATGCTAATATTTGGTATATTTCTTCTGTATCTTTCCCCATGTGATCCTATTTGTCTGAATAATCATACATATGTGCAATTATATCACATAATTGTATAACATGCCTGTATGGTTGAATGCTTACCATGTGCCAGGTAATGTTTCGAGTACTTTAGACACAGTAATGTATACAATTCTCATATTCTCTAAGATTGGTACTATTATGGGGCTCCTGGGTGGCTCAGTTGGTTGAGCATCTGACTTTTGATTTTGGCTCAGGTCATGATCTCACAGTCATGGGATCTAGCCCCGTGTCAGGCTCCCTGCTTGGGATTTTCTCCCTCTCTCTTTGCCCCTTTCCCCTATTCACACACACTCGGAATGGAATGGAATGGAATGGAATAGAATAGAATAGAATGAAATTTAATGAAATGAAATTAAATATTGGTACTGTTATCATGCCCAGATGGGAAGACCGAGGGATAGGCAGTGGGTAAATGGCCGAGTGGGCATCAAGCCCCAGCAGCCTGGCTCCAGACCCACTACACAGGGCCCAGCCCACCAGGCTGATGTGTCTTGTGGAAGCTCGCATAAGGAGAACACAGCATTCCATTCAGTGGATATTTAGAGTGCCTAGCCCTTCTTCATTATTGATTGGTATATATTTATTGTTATTTATTAGTTTTTTACTGTTGTAAAATAATTTGGTGAGCATCGTTGCCCAGACAGCTTTTTACCCTATTTCAGAATTATTCCTTAGAAGTAATCCCTAGGGGCGCCTGGGTGGCTCAATCGGTTAAGCACCAACTCTGGATTTTGGCTCAGGTCATGATCTCAAAGCCCGTGACTTTAAACCCTGTTTCAGGCTCTGAGCTGACAGTGCAGAGCCTGCTTGGGATTCTCTCTCTGTCCCTTTGCTGTTCATGTACATTCTTTCTCTCAAAATAAATAATTAATATTAAAAAAAAAAAAAGAAGTAATCCCTAGATGAAAGGTCTGAATATCTTTAATACTGTCCGCACCTACTGTAAGGATTTTCCCACCAGGCTGGAGAGAATCAGCCCACTGTGGGTGGCAGGCTCAGGACACAGAAGGTTCAGCGCTAATCAGAGCCAAGTAACTTTTCATAAGTCACCAGTTCATTAGGGGACAGCTGACACTCAGCCAAAAAAAATCTCTCTTTGCAGCAAGACTTTGGAAGTTCTTACACGTTTTTCTCCTGGCTACTGCATTTCACTGAGAATGAGTTCCATCCTCCCTCCTCATCCTCACCGAGAGTGCATGAACCCCTAAACCCATGTGCAGCTTGGGGTGAAGACGTATGTGTGTGCATTCTTCTGAGGATAGGGTCATTAGCATTGATCAGGTTCTCCAAAGGTGACCCCCCCCAGAAAAGTCCAGAACCACTACTATGAGAAGATGATATCCTATCCTTAAGTATCTCATTGGTTATTTTATAATAAAACTGACTAATATCAAATGTGTGTGAATGCAAAAGGCTAAGTTCCTTGGGCAAAATCTTCAAATCAATGAAAGTCATTTTTTCTGAGTTGCCACCATGGGAAACAAGCCCTGATGTGGTAGTTCCTGCCAGGGTTCAAAGGGCGACCATTTATACACCGAAGTTACCATAGCAACACAATCTGTTTAGAGCGGCAAGGAAAAATGGAGAAGTAAACCAAGGTATTATGTAAGCTGCAAAAATAAGTTAAAGTTCTAGAGATCAGTGGGGGGGGGGGGCGTGGGCAAGTTTTCGGCTCCTCTCTGTGCCAGTGGCCCTGTCTGGGGAATTTTATTTTGATGACAGCAGGGTGTCCCCCACCATTTTAATAGAATTGAGAGAGCGTTCATAGTGGTAATTTGGGAAGTAATTACTACGGAAATTGCCTTCCAGTTCCTTTCCACCTTAATTTTTCAAGGATGTACCAAATAATAGTTTCAGACTCAGGAGGAGGGCTCCATGAAGGCGCGTTCCCCTCCAGGGATCAAAATCGCTCTGTTCTTCAACGGGGCCGCTGGGGGAGCAGCGGCGACTGTGGCCTCACAGAGGCGCCCTGCCCAGGTAGAAAGGCTGGGGCCTGCGGTCCGCCAGATGCGGGTTCTGACCCCTCTGCCACCGCGTGTGGATCCCCAGTGTTAGCCATCGCTGCCCCCTATGCTTTTGTGTCCTTGTTGTGAAATAGGGGCCGCCCCTGCCGCGGGTCTCAGGGAGACCACATGGTACAGTCTGGTTCACCATTGATATTTAATGCCAAGGTGGCTCTCTTCAGGCCTCCTTTCACCCCTTTTTCCAGAACCTGATGCGCTGATGCATATGGGACATGCCCTGAAAGTGGTGAAGTCACATAATGTGATACATGGGTGGAAGTGACGTGCTGTGTTTGCCCCTTCAGGTCATGATGCTGATCCAGAACCACCCTGTCCCCGTCATCGCCATGGTGAATGGCTTGGCCACTGCCGCCGGCTGTCAGCTGGTTGCCAGCTGTGACATCGCCGTGGCGAGCGACAAATCCTCTTTTGCCACCCCAGGAGTGAACATTGGGCTCTTCTGCTCCACCCCTGCGGTTGCCTTGGGGAGAACCGTGCCGAGAAAGGTAATTCACCTCCCCGCAGCCCCTCAGCTGCCGTCTTCCTGTGCGTACGATGGGCAGTTCCAGAACTCGCTTGTTATAAGTACCATGTGTATCAGGACATTCTGCCCAGCATGTAGCCAGCTGGATGTGCCACGATGTCCCTTCTAATGCCTTGTGCGGGGAGGGAATGTCCCTTCTAATGCCTGTTCTCTGAAGCTTCTCACCGTGGTCTTGTCTGTGAGTCACCCCATTTCAATCTTGCCTGTCCCTCAGTACAACTAGTTAGGTTCTTGTTTTTTTTATTTTCATAAAGGCGCACATTTTTGTCATCTTTCCCCCCCCCCGCAATGTTTATTTACTCTTGAGAGACAAAGAGAGACAGAGCCTGAGCAGGGGAGGGTCAGAGAGAGAGGGAGACACAGAATCTGAAACAGGCTCCAGGTTCTGAGGTAGCTGTCAGCACAGAGCCCTGCGCGGGGCTCAAACCCACGAACCGTGAGATCACGACCTAAGCCAACTTGGATGCTTTGACTGAGCCACCCAGGCGCCCCTGCATTTTTGTAATCTTGTTGGCAAAGCAGTTGAAACGGAGTTTTGACCTAAGCTGAGATCAAGAGTCAGGTGCTTAACTGACTGAACCACCCAGATGTCCCTGGAAATCTGTTTTTAAAAGGGAAGAGGGGTGCCTGGGTGGCTCAGTCAGTTGGGCATCCAACTTTGGCTCAGGTTATGATCTCATGGCTCATGAATTCAAACCCCGCATCGGGCTCTGTGCTGACAGCGCAGAGCCTAGATCCTCTTTCAGATTCTGTGTCTCCCTCACTCTCTGCCCCTCCCCTCTCTCTCTTTCTCTCAAAAATAAATAAAAACATTTTTTAAAAATCTGAAAAAAAAGGGAAGAGGGCAAAGTCATATACCACAGCATGCAGGGAACATAAACTGCTGCCTAGAATACATTATCCATTTTAGCATCAAATACAAAAATTAGCAGTTGCCTGTATGCTTGGGGCACAAAAGCAGTGAGACCCAAGGGAAATCAAGCTGCAAGATCAGGAAGTTTCTGGAAGCACTCCTTTGCTTTATGGTGTCTCCTCATTAATGTTTATAGCCATGCATGTGTGAGACGATTCTGAGGACAGACATGTGTGAGCACACAAACCGGGGCTCTGGCTCAACATGCGGCGCACGGGGGGAGCCGGCAGACAGCACCGCTTGCCACAAGGCCTGCAGACCCAGGCTCTGATGTGTCAGGGCGCACGTCGTCCTCAGTGTGTACACACAGCATCGCAACCAATACTTCTCAATCCCCCCTCTGTGCCCGCGCGTCAAAGCGCCTTCCAAATAGATAGTCAGAGCTCGTTAATAAACTCCCTTACGGTTGTGCACATCAAATCCTGAGGCTTGGGCCTAGAAGGCCGTTGTACTGACTACCCTACCTGCAGCTGCTCACATTTAACACCTGATGTTCTAGAAGAGTCCGCAGTGAGGCAGTTAAGCCTGTGTCAGCCAAGCTATCAGGATAAGAATCCATTCTTTCTTTACACAAACAAACTTTTCTTTTTTTTTTTTTTTTAACTCAGTCTTTAAAGGCTGGAATCCTTTTTTTTTTTTTTTTTTTTCATTTTATTTATTTTAGAGAGAGAACACAAGCACAAGACAGGGAGAGTGGCGGAGGGCAGGGGAGAGACAGAGACAGAGAGAGACAGAGAATGAGAATCTTAAGCAGGCTCCACACTCAGCACAGAGCCTGATGTGGGGTTTGATCCCACAGCCCTGGGATCATGACCTGATCTGAAATCAAGAGTCGCCCTGCTACTCAATGGACTGAGCCACCCAGGAGCCCCCACCACAAATAAACTTTTCAAACCAAGACTTATAAGTAAGTCCTGGAAACTTAAACATTGTATCATATTTGTTTTTTTAATAACGTTTTATTTCTTTTTTTTTTTAATGTTTTATTTACTTCTGAGAGAGAGAAAGAGAGAGCGAGCAGGGGAGGGTCAGAGAGGAAGACACAGAATCTGAAATAGGCTCCAGGCTCTGAGCTAGCTGTCAGCACAGAGCCCGATGCAGGGCTCAAACCCAAGAACCATGAGATCATGACCTGAGCTGAAGTCTGATGCTTAACCGACTGAGCCACCCAGGTGCCCCCATATTTGTTAAGTTTTAAATTACTTTTTGAGAAAAGAAATATGTGATAAATACAGGCTTTAAGTTTCCAGGCAGCAAGAAAACCAAAGTAGCTTTTACCTCCCACAGACAGTTCTGGGAAGGGCCTGGCCTGCTCAGAAGATGGGGGCAGAGTCTCCGAGACTGTCCATTCAGCTCCCTGATCTGTGCTCCTTGTGATATGACCCGCTGAGTGCCTTCCTAGTCAGCAGTCTGAAAGTGGTTCAGTGTCACTAGAGGCCCCTGCCCCAACCGGGTTCATCACAGCAAGGAGACCTACAGATTCCTGGCTCGGGGCCCACACAGTGAGCTGAGGTTGCCGATAAAGGGAACTTGAGTAGGAGGAAAAGTCTGTCGATCTTAGGGCCTTTGCCAGGATTCTGGAGCTGCAGATCTCACCTGCGCGGTCCCCTTTAGGAGACAGCTAGGGATCCATAAAAATCTAAACCAACCCAAAGCAGTCCTTCCTCCCTGTGATCGGTGCTTGAATGCACCCAGACGAACACATGCATGCCCAGGCCCGTAGGCTGTCGTGGGTGGTGGGCACATGGCCCCCGTGCATGTCCACAGGGAGGCAAGCAAGCGCTTTGCACTCTGGCCTGGCAGGAAGCGCCACCCTGTTCCGTTCTGCACCGGGAGGGCCGCGTGTGTGGGCCACCAGTGCCCTCTGCTGGTCAGTGTGGGAAACTGCTCGGCTGTGCCGGTAAAGGGAGGGCTGTGGTGTGTCCCCTAGGAGCAGAAATGATGGAACGCAGCCCTTGTATTCGAGCCAGACTGAGGCCGGGCATGAATAATCTCCCACATTTGTAAAACGCTTCTCTCCTCTGGCATGAGATAAATAATGCATCTTCGTTGCACCATGTAAACGACCTGCCTTCCCCAGAGCGGGCCAGCACCTCCCAGCCCTTGCTGTCACGGGAGGGCACAGGAAGGACCCGAACCCCCTCTCCGCAGCCTGGCACTTGTCTGCAGTGTGAACGCTCGCTCCCACCTATCTGTCCACGGTAACCTGGTGTGTCCGTGGGATCTGATCTCCCAATCGTCTAATTAGAGCGGAGCAGAACCTCGAAGCTGGAGTGTTACTGCCTTGCTATGGGCCTGGTGTGCAGACCACCAGGACCTGAGAAATGCAGAGTCTCAGGCCCCAGACAGACCGCATCAGAATCTGCACGGCCATCCGCCTTGGCGCCTTTGAGAACAGGTAGTTTAACCCCCTCCCCCCAATTTACAGGAGGGCTTGGGGGCGCTACTGGCCCCACCACCCTCTGTCAGCTCCCTTCCCCTCTGAGTTCTGACTTCACTGCCAGCCCGTAATGCTGACAGCCCACCAGCCGACTCTTCTCAGAGATGTGACTTGGGGAGACCCAAAGAGCCCTCTGCTTTATTTTTGATGTTTATTTTTGAGAGAGAGAGACAGAGCATGAGCAAGGGTGGGGAAGAGAGAGAAGGAGGCCCAGAATCTGAACCAGACTCTAGGCTCTGAGATGTCAGCACAGAGCTTAACATGGGGCTCAAACTCACAAACTGGGAGATCATGACCTGAGCCGAGTTTAGAAGCTTAACCACCTGAGCCACCCAGGTGCCCCATAGACCCCTCTGCTTTAAAGACCTGCCCCCTTTCAGGCCTGTGATACCTAAAAGTCAATTAGAGATTCATACAAACCTACAGTTGGGATGGGCATATTAATAATAGTGCATTTATTAGGCACCTGCTGAGTGCCTGGCACTGTAGCATAAGCCTTACACTTTCTGTCTCTAATCTTCACAATTCCGCAGGAGGATGGAAGGTTTATTCCCATTTTCAGATGAGGAAACAGACTCAGAGGGCTTATGTTGCATCCTTAGGTCCTGTGGTTAGTAAGTGGCCGATCTGGGATTGGACCTTGGGGACCAGCTCCTGACCCAAGTCCTGCTGCTTCCGAGATTAGCCTGGGCCTCAAGCGCTTGTTTTGTTTTTAATGCAAGTCCCCCAGGAAGAGGAAGTATTAAACCACCAGCTTGCTGGGGTGACCCAAGATGTGCCGTCATAGAAGGCGGCTTGAATGGACAAGAGAAAAGGAAAGAGAATGTGTTTTCTCTCTCATCTAAAGTTCTGGGGGGCCCAACATAGAAACTTCAGTCGTAAGCGAAGATTGTGCTGACTAGCTAGAAGATAAACAGACTTTCTTTTCCTTAGAGAATACACTGTTATCCAACCTGCCTGTGTCAAATCCCTATACATCAGTAGGTGCTAACAGTTATCCCCATAGGCAGATAAGGACACCGAGGCCCAGAGGAGGGGAAGAACCAGGCAGGCCTGAGTTGGGAAGCCAAGGCCTCTGGCTCACGACCTCGCTCCCGCTGAGTAGTGTTAGTCCCACTCAGACTCCCTGGTCTTCCGGAACGAGGGGAGAGGCTCTAGGGCAGCAGTCTGCCCCCGTCACCAAGAGCCACGGGGCCCTTTACTCCCTGTTTACATCTAGTCGGACGCATCTGTGATTCACGGGGAGAAAGCCACCTAGCCAGCCGCCTCTCCGTCATCCTGGTTCTTCGCCTTGCCTCTTGGTTTCTTTGCTTTTAAAAACTGGCGTTCCTGGGATGTGACGTGTGTGTGGTGCTGCCTGGGTTTGAGAAGCGACGGAGAAGCAGAGCCCACGTGCCATGGACTCCGAACCCTGTGACCGCAGAGGCCACTGAGCCGGGTTCCCAAGCCTGACTAGACTTGGTGCACTGGGGCCCCCCTTGGGCCCCCTCATTATCTCTCTTCACAGGACAGCCCATCACTTTATATGAAGTGGAAAAGGGGACGAGGACATTAATAAACCTCCTACCATTTAACAATCTGGATTTTTTCAGAATCATTAGTGAACCTGTATAAGCGATAAAAGAAGTTTGCACCAAATATAAGTGATGAGTCGAAGGGACTGGTCTCGATGGTGTGTTCCCTTCATTTATCTGCAGGCAAGGCTCCATTTAGAGCATTCCAGAAAGATGAGTATCTTGTATCTTTGAAAATATTCCCATGTGAGGTGATTTCTGAATCTGGCAGTTCTAATGCCCACTACATAGCAGGCAGTAGGAGAGGCCGGGGTGCTGTGTGCGCACCATTTGTTTCTGAGTGTGCCAAGGACAGAGCCCGGGACTTAGCAGGGGTCTCTTCGGACAGCTGTGAGTTCCATCTCTCAAGGGTGTTCTGACCGTCTGTCTATCTGTGTCTTTCTCTGCTTGGCTGACTGACTCACTGACTGAAAGCGGAAATACCTTTTCTGTCTGATTAAAATGCCTCATGCTATAGCTCAAGGTCACTTCCTTTCTGTTTATGACTAGAGATCCTGAAATAGCATCAGGAAGCTTTGTCTAGAAGGGAACGTTAAGAGACAGAATGGCCTGTGCCTGACAGACAGCCCCCCCCACCCCCAGGTTCATACAGCCGCAGGGGTGAGGACTCCAGTTCTCCTGGAGGGACTCAGTTCAGGGACTTAGGTGGTTTGGAGGTGCTCCAGAACAAAGACATTGCAAGCACCCAGAGTCGTCCTGGGCGCGGGTAAGTCACGTGCGGCTGCCGTAATGCCGTGACTGAGCGCTTCAACAACAGAAATCTATTTTCTCTGTTTTTGAGGCTGGGAGTCTCAGCTCAACGTGCTGGCAGACTTGACTCCTGACTACCTTCCTTCTGTGTCCTCATACGGCAGGGAGAGACACACACAGACAGACAGGCCTCTAATTCTTCTACGGCCACCAAGCCTAGTGAATCAGGGACCCACTCTCTGACCTCATTTACCCTTAACTGCCACCCGAAAGGCCCCATCTCCAAATACACTGAGGCTCAGGGCTCCCACACCTACACTTTGGGGAGAGGCGATTCAGGGCCTAGCACTCCTTCTGACACGTAGTAGACGCCCTATGTAAATACTTGCTGGGAGAGTGAAAATACAAGAGGAATTTGTGCTTTGAGTTCCGCCTCACGGAACCTGGTCACCATCCTCATAAACGCAAACTCATGCCAGGTCCCTTGAGCAAGCAAACCCCTCACAGTTAATCTGCCTGCTCTCTGTCTCGCTCCGACAGACTGTTTCCTTAGCATCTCTGCTGCACCGGCCGTGACGGTGGGCCCTGCAGTCACTGGTTAGCTGTCCTTCACCGCATCTCGGAGAGAGGCATTTGTGCCCAGGCGTTCCGCCGGGGCCCAGGGAGATGGGAAGCGATGTGTGGGGGTCCTGGGAGGGACAGCACTGAGCAGGAGGGACAAGGCCCCGGCCCGCAGAAGCCTGGGCTCCGAAGGACTCGCCTTGGGAACTGCATGGAGCGCTTGTGCCCCGTGCAGCGGCAGTTCCTGAGCCAGACAGGTGCTTTGCAGGCGTGCGATGGGGGCCGGGGAAGCAGAATGGAGATGAGGAGGCTCAGGAAGAGAAAGGGAGAGGGGAGTGAGGGCAACAGAGGTACCGAAGAAGGTGTTCCCAAGGGGACTGTCCACTGACAGCCCGAGAACTGGGACGGCAAGTGCTGACTAAGCTGGACGAGTAGAGGCCGGTCTGCTGAGCCAGCTGCCGGAGGCCTCGCTACTTCGGTCATGATGATTGCCTCCCCCCGGCTCTGCTGACATTCACACCTACTCTTTGAAAATCATTTGAGGTCCTGACCGTTCCAAGTTGTGAAGAGAGTGATGGGCTTGTCCTCGGTGCATTGGTTTTTAAAGTTGTTTTCCGGACTGGCCACTTGCCGGTCCGTGGTCCGCATGGAGTTCTGGATGGCCTCCCGCGCGACTGGAGGGCGGGACGGGCTGGAGCTGCCGCCCTCTCCTGGCTCCTGACCTGGTCCCTGCTGGTGTGCACCGCTCAGGCAGAGACAGAGCAGATGCCATCCTGGCCCCTTGGTGTCACTCACTGGGTGTCTTCAGCGGGGTCTTAGTGGCCCTTAATCAGCAGGACCTGGTTCTCAGCTCCATGTTCAACCAGGGGCCTCAAACCCTCTTGGGAGCAATGATACTGTTCCCTCTGCAGAGGGAAATGGGGTGCGGCACCGCTCGCCCCCGATTGCCGGTCCAGTGTACATTACACGTGTACCCCACACGCCCCACACGGGAGGAGTCCTCAAGCCCAGCCTCTGACCCTCCTCCTTTATCAAGGCTCCATCCTTCACTGATACAATCCAGTGTCATGATTTCAGAAACCTAAATTGGTGGCTTGAGGCTGGGAGCAGTATTGCTCCAGGGGACGTGTGGTGGTACCTGGAGACATTTCTGATTGTCACAGCTGTTGGGTTGGGACAGTAACCGCTGGCACCTGGCAGATGGCGACCAGGGCTATGTAAACATCCTACTGCCCACAGGACAGCCCCACACAACATGATGTTATCTGGCCCCAAATACACAACAGCACCAAGGCTGAAGAACCTGGTAGGAGCATTATCTAACTGCTAATGGCTCCCAAATTTATAGCTCAAGCTCGTCCAATTATCTATTACTGCACAGTGAACCACCCATAACTTAGTGGCTCAAAGCAACAACAGTAATTTGTCGAGCTCATGAATCTGCCATCTGGATAGGACTCATCGAGGAGGCTTATCTCTGCTCTGCAACGTGTGTGGCCTCAGCTGGGAAGAATTGATGCCGGGGGAGAGTGACAGCTGGGGTCTGTCGTCGTCTGAGCGGCTGTTAGCCTGCCTCTTAGCTAGGGCCCCAGCCAGGCCGGTCATGGGAACACTTAGCACCGCCCGCATGTCCTGGACACCCCCACGCCATGGCAGCCGGGCCCAAAGCCGCAGCAGCATGAGCAAAAGAGCCAGGTGGGAGCTGGGTCACCTGTGCCCAGACCTCTAAAGGACCAGAGCATTTCTTCTGCTGTGCTGCCTTCCTTCATCCATCCATCCCTCAAATCGCTCATCATAAACACTAAGTAAGCTGCCTACTAGATGCAAGGTACCCTTTCTGGTGTTGGTAGTACAGAAATAGAGCAGCTAAAAGAAAAAAAATCCCCCAGGGGCACCTGGGTGGCTGTCAGTTGGTGTCAGACTTCAGCTCAGGTCATGATCTCACATTCAAGGGTTCAAGCCCAAGGTCAGGCTCTGTGCTGACAGCTTGGAACCTGGAGCCTTGGATTCTCTCTCTCTCTCTCTCTGCCCCTCTCCCACTCAGGCTCTGTTTCTCTCTCTCTCAAAAATAAACAAACATTACAAAAAAAATCATTGACCTGGTGGAGTTTACATGCCAGCAAAGGAGACAGTACAATAAACAAAACGACGTGTGGAATGTATAGGGTGTTAAAATGGCGGAAGTACGAAGGATAAAAATACAGCCGGGAAGGGGGTTGGTGCTGGGGTTTAGTCTGCAGTTTTGACAGCGTGGTCACGGGGCACCTGCTGGATGAGCTGTCATGTGAGCAGCGGCCGAAGGGGACAAGGCCACCTGTCGGAGGGACACCTGGGGACAGAGTGTCACAGGCCAAGGGAACAGCACCCTGGAGTGACAGCACGCATGGCAGATTCAGGAAACAGCAGGGCTGTGGGCAGTGAGAGGCAGAGCGAAGGGGGGCACCTCCCTGCCTGTGCTCCACGTGCTCCGGGAGCCCCTCTTTTAAATCATAAATTTGATTCCAAGAGGCCAGGCTTTGTGGAATTCTGGTACCAGGCACGGTGTGCGGCAGGCCATAGAACAGAGGAAGCCATGAAGAGGAAGGACCTTGGATCCCCTTCCTTTGGGGGAGGGGGGGTTCTGGGGGAGGGGGCATCTAGCGCAAGCCGCACCTCACCTGCTGGTAAGCTGCCCGTGTGAGGCTCCTGTGCCTGGTCCCCGGAAAGGTTCCCCTTTCAGCCCCTCCTGCTATGGTTTTTGGAGGCTGCTCTTTGCCTCAGACCGAGGTGATGGCATCTCTGAACATCTTCCTCCTTCTGGAAAGTAGCCACCGCGTTGTCTGTGGGAGGCTGGGCCTTGCTGGTGCGGCGGTTTCACTTTCCTCCAGTCAGATGCGGCAGCCATCCCATGCCGGGCCCTTGAACGAGGCAGGGGACGCTCCTGGTGTGGCAGAGGCTGGGAGATCTGATCTGGAGAAGGAGCAAGAAAACACGAAGAGTCACCCCCTTTCCTGGGCACCTGTGCTCTCCGCACTCCTGGAAAGATCTGGCCCTGACCCTGGCAGACATCAGGTCCGCGGGTGACAAGTGATCTGAGGAAGCAGATGACAGGGCAGAGGTGGTAGGTTGTTAGGGTGGAACGGAGAGGGTCACAAGGAGCGTGCCTTGGTAACGGCCATGCTTCCCCCCCTAGGTTGCCTTAGAAATGCTTTTCACGGGGGAGCCCATCTCCGCCCAGGAGGCCCTGCTGCACGGGCTGCTCAGCAAAGTAGTGCCAGAGGAGCAGCTGGAGGAAGAGACCATGAGAATTGCAACGAAGATTGCCTCCTTGAGCCGTCCTGTGGTGTCTTTGGGCAAGGCCACCTTCTACAAGCAGCTGCCCCAGGACCTTAGAACAGCCTACTACCTGGCCTCCCAGACCATGGTGGACAACGTGGCCCTGAGGGATGGGCAGGAGGGTATCAAGGCCTTCATCCAGAAGAGAAAACCCGTCTGGTCAGAGTAAGTGGTCCCATCAGAGGAACGGAGGAGGAGTGATGCCCACACACCACTGCCTCCTCGTGATCGTAGAGGAGACAGCCTGCTGTACATTAGCAATGGCCTCGCCGCTTGTAGTCTGCATGAAAAGCCTTGATTCCACAGGGGAAAGGCTGAGGCGGAGAATGGAATGAGGCTGAAGGGTAGTCGGCACCTGTGCTGGCTGGCTCTAGTGGAAAGCCTGGTACTTGACATCCTCCTTCCCGGGACCACAGGTGAGGGATCACCAGATGCGGGAGAAGGTGAGGAGAACACGCTGAGGTATAAAAGAAGAGTGCCAACCTCACTCTGCTTTCAGAAATGTCCCCTGAGGTGGAGGCCATTCTGGCTGCCCGAGGGCGGCAGCGCGTTTCCAATCTCCACAAGATCTTCTCGATTCCACTGAGAAATAATCACGCCTATGGCTTTGGTCTAATCTTATATGATTTAAAATGATTAAATATTTAGAGAGACTGGTAATTTCATCTTCCCAACCAGACTGTAGCTGTCTGAGAAGAGGAAAAAAAAAAAATCACAACCTCTTTCTTTGGGTGCCAGCACTCATGGGCGTCCCCCAGAGGCCGATGTTCCTGGCTCTCCAGGACCCCAAAACTGGGATCCTGGGCTAGACCTGAGGACAGAAACCTCAGGGAGACCTGTCCCCCCACTAGACGCCACCCGCTCTGGACACGTTTCCGAACTCTGCTCGGCCTCTGGTGGGCGATACAAACTGGACCCGGGCGTCCAAGCCCCCCAGCTGAGCAAGCGTTTGGATTAGGACCTAAGCACACTGCTTTTCTGGCTTCTGGTCCGACAACGGCCTAAGAAACGCTCCAAGTCTCTTGTCCTCAAGCTTTTATATAGGATCTTATCTTTTTTAAAAAGCCAATCTATCTTCCCTAGGAGTGGAATGCGGCCATAAAGGCAGTCAGCACTGTGACGGAAATAGGGAACGTGTGGTTCTAACCCAAGGCTCTCATTCAGGGCTCGCGTGTGTTGTGAAGGATGCCCCTCCTGCGTTCACAGATTCCTATTGAGACTGACTTTTTTTTTTCTCTGCCTGAGTGTAGAAAGGTTTTTGTTTTTTGTTTTAAGAGTGTTTTCTTGGAAAGGAGGAACTTGTTAGTAAGATGGTCCTCGTGAGCAGAGGTCCCCCATGTCCTGGCCACCTGGGACGTGCCAGGTGCTGACCCGTCCGCACATTCGTGTTTCGTCCTCATTCAGAGCTCAGTGGAGCAGGTGGTGTGGTTGTTCCCATCCTACAGATGCATTGCTGAGGCCCACTTCATGCCAGGTCAAACAGCGGACATGGGGTAGGGCAAGGGTTGCAGACTCTGTCAGCCTGAAGAAGCCACAGGTGCCCTTTCCCCCTGGCCGCAACGCCTTGTAGGGAGGGCTGGGCCAGGCTGGTGTGAGGCCAGCCCCAGGAAAGGACTTCCCTGCTGCATACAGCTTTCTGAAACAAAGGAATGGGCCACACATTTGCTGCTATGCAACCTTGCTGGTGTGCAAGGGACATCGGTGTGATTTCTGGCAGAAGGCTAAGGGAGTTTTCCCTGCACAGCTGATAAAGAGCTGGCTGATGGTCTAGACTCGACTATGAAGGACCCACCTGTCACCGTCTGCTCAAACACAGTGCTGCCAGGGGGGCCCCGCCTCTGCCCTCCTGCCCTGGTGGCCTGCTGCGGAAGGCATTATTTCAGTTACCAGATAGCACAGTGTAGGGGACAGGGTGTGAGAAAGGTTCTGGGCCTCAGGGAAAGTGACAAAGCCTTCTCTCACACCCGTCTGGCAAATGAAAATCAAAAGTTAGCTTTCCAGTGTCTGCGTAAGCCTACACTGTGCTCCGAAACCGTGAGATCCTGGGGGCTCTTGGCCGGCTTCCCAGCCCATGAGCCGACGTGCACTCAGGGACTGGCTATAAATCTGACCACTCGCCTGTGGAGAAGATAACCCAGAAGGAAAATCTGGCCCCGACCCTCTGAAGTCATAGAATTCATCCCCAGGCAAATATAAATTCAGGGCTCATTTGTAACCCTGCTTCCCTCCACTGGGACACCGAATGAGATTTTTCTGATAACCACACATGACGAGTGCTGTTGGAAGCCTAGTGTGTCTGGCTTTCCGTCTGCACCATTCACTTCTCAGGGAGCTTTGCTGAGCTCAGCCCAGCCGACCATGTCCCTCAGTTCGGGCGCCAGAGCCGGGTGTCTGCTGCTCGCTGGGTGAGAGAGCATTCCAAGGCCAACTCGAGGCCTGGAGAATACAAGCAAACGCAGTGATCCCGTGTGCTCCACAGCAGTGAATTTGGGGTGGCTGCCACTCGGGAGCGGTGCTGATCTAATGAGCCTCAGTTCCTGCCTGCAGCACTATGAGGCTACTCTTGCTGGCCCGCTGGCATCCAGGGGGCCCCAAGAGGTTACGGCATTGGCCGAAGGCAGTTTGGGGAGTGGGTTTGGGTCTGTAGGCTCCGGGAGCCTGTGCTCCTGACCACCGCACCGTATTCCTCCTGGTATCCTGAAAAGGCTCCTGATCCAGCCTGCACACGCTGACTACCAGCGCGCTCCAAGGGACCAAGTGGAAAGGCCACAGCCACGGCAACACAGTTTTGCTCCCAGAAGGAGATTCGGGAAAAGCAGGGATTTGAACACATAGACCGTGGCGTCCTGGCCCCAGGTTTGCCGTGGAGCCAGTTGTGTGACTGGGCGCAGCTGACAGAGGTGCTTTTGCCGCTCAGCTGGCCCGTCTATACAAATGACACCACTGGACACTTGTCTTCTTCCTGTGACATTCCGGATTCTGCAATACCGGGGTTCAGGAACTTGCCATGGAATGTGAAACAGCCAGCTTTTGCTCACAGAAACTGCTCTTTTACAAGTGGAGAAGATGGGCATTTCACCTGGAGAAGCAGTAAACAGTGGAAACGCCTGAGCACATCTGCGACCGCAAACTCCATTACAGATATTCAGAGGTGTGGGGCCACATCCAAACCTTCTGAAGATGTGATCAACAAGGAGGACCCGCCCTGAGGCACATGGCCCTCGTGGGTGATGTCTAGGTGCCTTATTCAGCCAGCTCCACCCCCCACTTTCTTCTCCTCCTTCTGAAAACCCACGGCATTAAGAGTGGCATTTCCAAAGTGTGGCCCCTGGACGACCTGGGTCTTCAAGTGAGGATTCCTGGGCTCCTCAGAGCTAATGAATCACAAATGCAGATTTCTGGGGCCCAAAAATATGTATTAAAAAAAAAGTTTCCGAATGATTCTGCTGCACAATAAAATGTAGGAACTGACCACATTCCGGTGGAGGTGACCCATCTCTGTCTGGCTGTATCTGTATTTTAAAGGCTGAAGCAGGGCAGGTGCTATGGTGAAGTTCCGGGCAGTCACTGCTGGCTCAGAGAGGGATGCGAAGAGCCTCCTCCAGGCAGGCAGGTTTTCCGGCCTTCATAGGCCCCCAGTGCTCCTGCCTTTGGGAGCCCCACCCCATATCACATTAAACATCAGAAAAAGGGGCACTGGGTGGCTCAGTCATGAAAGCATCTGACTTCAGCTCATGTCATCATCTCACGGATCATGAATTTGAGCCCCACATTGGGCTCTCTGCTGTCACCTCAGAGCCTGCTTGGGATCCTCTGTGTCCCTCTCTCTCTGCCCCTCCCTGCTCACATGCCCTTCCTCAAAAATAAACATTTTTTTATTTTTAAATCTGAAATATACCCATATACCACCACTCTACCCATATACCACCACTCTGAATACAATTCTGTTCAGGGCAAGGAGCTGAATGATTTGCTTTTTTGGGGGGTGGGCTTTGCTTTATAAATTATTTTAAATTATTAGATTAACGATGATTATTTCTTGGCAATCATCAAATATTTGGGGGCTAAAGTCAGCATTCTTGAAGCTGACATGTTATGGCTAATAAAATATTAAATTTCCTTCTTGCCAGGGTTTTTCTTTTATACTTTGGGGTCCCAAATTTATTTTTCAGGTCCCAAAGAGAGGCCCATGGAGAGCTCGCAGCCCACCGATTCCGTGCCTGCAGGCTCTCTGGTGTAGGGAGGTGGCCCTTTCACAGGGGAAAAGGGGGCAAGGGAAGGCAAATCCAGTGTTACAAGGTTTATACTCCCCGTGTGGGAGTCCTCCAGCACCCTTAGTGATTTTATAGCGATAGTCCCTTCCTATCTCCCTGTCCTGACCGGGAATGTTTACGCCCAGGCTCTAAAAAGCAATTTGCATGTATTTTTTTTTTTTTTACACATTTAAGACCTCTTTTTTTATGTTGTTTGTTTTCAACATTCACCTTACCAAAAGAGATGCTAATTACCAGTTTTAGAAATTTCTAGAAATTTAGAAAAAGAAAAAAAAATCTACCAGTTGGAGGGGAATGCAATTTAGAGCCCATCAACACTTAAATTCATGTAGCAATTGCTCCGTGCCAGGCACTGTCTTAAGCATTTTGCAGATGTTAGCACATTAATCCTCACAAAATCTCTAGGAAGTGGGCCATTGTACAGACAAGGAACCAAAAGCCAAACTTATTAAGTGACTAGCCCACTATCACACAGCCAGGAAGGGGCAGGTTCTGGTCAGTGACTTCACTGTGTAAAACGGATTAAGGAAATGTGGGTCTGAGAATTTCAAAGACCTCTCTGCATCCCATGTCCTGCTTAGGGCAACTGGGCTTTGAAATGTGGCGGGTCCAGATGTGGGGCATGGGCTTGGATCCCCACACCACACAACTCTCCCGCCCCCTCTCTTACTGTTAGGTGTCCACGACATTGCATCACTCTGTAGATACTTCTGTTGGGTGGGAAGCACATTAAATTATTTCTTTTTTTGTTTGTTTATTTGAGAGAGAGAGTGAGACAGAGCGCAAGTGGGGTAAGGACAGAGAGAGAGGGAGACACAGAATCTGAAAAAGTCTCCAGGCTCCAAGCTGTCAGCACAGGGCCAGACGTGGGGTTTGAACCCATAAACTGTGAGATCATGACCTGAGCCGAAGTCAGGCACTCAACTGACTAAGCCTCCCAGGCACCCCTAAATTATTTCTTGTTAATTCCTAGTCTAGCGTCCCACCCTTCCCTGACAAACATGTGCATTCCTGCAGGAGCACAGTCTGTCTTTCCTGGGCTTTTCGATCCTCAGAGGCTCGGCAGTGCTCAGCACAGTGCAGGCCTTCAGGAGGATCCGCTAGGCCCAGCCGAGCGTCACCAGGGGTATAGTTCCCCCGCACAGGCTACGAGATACAGACGAGCTTTTAAAAATCCTCAGTTCACATTTTCCCCATCAGTTCTGGGAAGCGAAATCGCTGAGCAGAACACGAACTCAACCACTGTTTTCTCTGTAGATCCGGGAAAGCTGGTAAGCATCTCTTTGTAAATGTAGGTCGGTGCTCCGGAGTCCTGTTGCCCTGCTTCGATGAAATCAGTCCCAGGAGTTCTGCCAAGCCTGTTTTCTTTCTTTAAAGGCCTTGCTGAGGCATGTTGTAGTCTCCGAATGCTGACACTTGTGGTGATAAAACATGCCAGAGAGGCATATACCATGTGTGGTTGGTTGGCAAGGGGCAAAGCTGTCTAATAGACTGGCACTTGATAGAATCCCTCAGATTGGTTAATATGCCGATTTGAGCCTCAAGCCAAAATGGTCTCATTTGCTACTGTCATCAAAGTCATTACTCTGATCCTTTGATAATTATCCCTTAAGGTAGCCAGTTTTTACCAATGACATTTCCTCAAGGCCCCTTGGTTCCTGTATCAGCAACCCCTCCCCGTTCCAACGGGGGTGGACATTTGCCAGACTCAACAGTCGTGCCCCTCCCCCTCCCCCAGGCCACACCTCACAAGGGCCATCACACCCCTCTTCAGTGTGGGTGTGGCAGATCCCTCCATGGTTACCACGTTCCCATGAAAACAGATTTAACTTCCTTTAAGTTGCACTAATTTTCTTTTTTCTGGATCTGTTTCCAAAAGAAACAGGCAAGAGGCGATTTTTAAAACATCGATCGCTGTATTTATGAAGCGTACACTTAATCGCAAAGCCCTACGCTAGGCACGATGGGATGGGTTTGTTTTATGTATAAGACAACTGTAAGCCTCCGGGAACTTAGCCTAAATCATGAACACGTGAACGTCCAAATACAAAACGGCTACCAGGGGACAAGAGTCAGAGAGCTGAGTTAGCTCTGAGCTCACCCTTATGGCTCGCTGTTCAACCTCTTTGAGTCTGAAGGTGTCTGTGGTTACGAGGGGTGGCAGGAACACCCACCTCCTGAGTGCTTAGGAGGGTTACATAATGTATGTGTAGCGATATTGCGGACGACCCACCCCCTAGCCCCATATCCCCCTGACCCACCCCCATCACCCCTGCAGCTATGGTGGGCAGTTTCCGTGGGTAAGAGCTTGCCCCCCTGTCGTGGACTGAATTCTGTTCCCACAAACTTCCTCCATTGAAGGCCTGCTCCCCAGTGTGACGGCATTAGGAGGAAGGGCCTCTAGAGAGACCGGTTATAGGAGATCATCAGGATGGAACCCTACTCTCCGAAGACCAGCGTCCGTAGGAGAGGCGAGAGGCACACCAGGGACCTGAACGCACAGAGGAAAAGCCGGACGCAGACACAGAGAGAAGGCAGCCATCCGCCAGCCGCGGAGAGACCCGCGGCACCTGGCTCTGGACTGCCAGCCCCCAGAGCTGTAAGGAAGGAAATTTCTGTTCTTAGCTACACCCCCCCCCCCCCACCCCCCCCAGTCTGTGATATTTTGTGACGGCAGCTTGAGCTCAGATGCGCCCTGGAGCACTTCTCTGGGAGTGAGTTTTCGTATTCCACGAGCTGGCCCAGCCTTCAGGGACACCCCCGGAGCAGCAGGAGAGGGAGCCGATGGATAAATTCCGCCCCCCCCCTCAACTGACTGAGGTAACAACGCTGAGATGTGGAGCTGTGTTGTCACCCATGGCACCAAGCTGTCCATTCACGAAGATTCGACCAGCTCTCCCTCCCTGCCTTACCTTGCCCCACACCCTCACTTGGGCTTCCTGCCATCACTTTCCAAATAAACAGCCTTCATATAAGTCCTTGATTCGGGGTCTGCCTTTGGGGGAACACCGAACTAGGTCAAGAGGCAGGCTGGCCTCTCGGTGAGCATCTCCTTCCCCTAACAAGTGAAAACAAGATTTAGCAACAGCACACGTTACAATGAGCAATGGGGTGGCTGCCGAAGGGACCTCATCGGCAACGCCGATGACAGGAATCGGGAGGAGAAAGCCATTTTGAGTCACTGCTGAGCAAAATAGGATCATCTACACAAAGCTCTGACTTTTCAAGGCGGGAGGGGTCTCAGCTCTCAGTTACCTCACACGCCGTGACACCTCACACAGGGTCCACAAGACTGAAGAGGTACAGACCTAACCAATACTGGTACCAAACCAGGACCCTCGGACCAAGAGCGGGACGGCCTCCCTGTTGACGCCCCCTGGAAATGATCAGGGTAAGCCCCCATAAATGTTCTAAGCTTTCCGGAAGTTCCTTTAGCAACGTTCAGGAAAAAGGCTGAGCAGGTGTGTTTCCCCAAAGTCCCCTCCAGAGGCCCCTTGAGAAAGAATTTATGAGCTGCTGCCTCTCCAGTCCCTTCCTTGACATTTATTGGCTTTTTGATGAATGTGAGAGCAATTTTTCTGTCAACTGCTTCTCATTAGGGGCCTGGTGATGTTCTTTCCGACCATTATTTTACTCAATATCATGCCTGGTCACTGTGAGGAGAAGAGGCTCCACTTAGAAACCATCCATCTTTGCAGCAGCAAAGAGCTCGGCTAATCCCACAGAAATGCTCCGCTGCGCTGACAGCCGCCCCGGGGCACGCACGGAGAATTTAGACAAACAGCCAGGCTCTAATGATCAGCTCATCCCCCCACATCATGCTCCTCCATTCCCTTAAAGACATATTTCAGGTTTGATTCTGTTTCTTTTTAAAATAACTTATGAGGAACTTGTTGGTGAAATAATCACCAGGACACCAGGAGACACAGTCTCACCACGCATGACAAGTCTGCCTTGGAAAAGTCTGAAAATAGCAGGTGTTGTAATAAGGAGTCCAGTGTCCTTGACGGACTGTTTATTTCGCCCCTCACATGCACTGTCTTAACACGATGATGGTATAGGGAAGCACCTGGAGACGCCCGAAGTTCCCACCACTCATGTCAACGATGTCAAGGTCCACTTACCCTCCTCCACCTTCCCTACCACCGAGTACAGGAACCTAACTGAGAAAGGCACATTTTTAAAAAAAGGTTTATAATTCTGAACAATTTC